TGGATGTGCAGCAGACAAATCTGCGGCAACTGTGTGATGCCATCATGTCAATATGGACCAAAATCTCTGAGGAATGCTTCCTTGTTGAATCTATGCCACGAAGAATTGAGGCAGTTCTGAAGGCAAAAGGGGGTCCAACCCGTTACTGGCGTGGTGTACCTAATAAAGTGGCCGGTGAGTGTATATTGTAATTTACTGTATCATACTGTGCTATATCAGGTGTGGAACTTAAAAATTTCCCTACCAGCCACAGTGGCTGGTAGAAAACTTTTGTACCGGCCACTCACACTTTTTACCAGCCACTAATTTTTTTGTTTCTGTACTACGGTGGCATTTAGACAATTCATGGTCCTTGGTGGCCTAATTATACTGTTTGTGCCTACAATAAGACAAAGGCACTCAAAATCTATTAGTGTCTTAGAATTCAAGCCAGCCTGTTTGACCAGAATTAAAATGGACTTTTTGACGTCTCTACTTCTCTTCCTAACTTGCTTTTTGCTGGTATTTAGGTGGAATACCAATTATTTTAGGTAGGCTACTTGGCTGGAAAAACAAAGCTTTTTAACCTTAATAATATAGGAGAAATTTTCAAGGTGAAAAAAAAAACTAAATTGCCTTACAACTAAATTACCTGTGGTAAATTTATCTCCTTCATTTAATAAAATCAGCCTTTGCCTTTTATCACTTGTAGTTTTTGTTCTATAGGCTACTGGTATGAATATGTGTCTTCTGTTCTAAGTGAGATTTCAGTAACAGATGGAAATCCCTTTAGATGATCCATTGTCTCAGACTGGGATCATTTTCTATTTTTACTTTTGAAAACATTTATGTCACAAGGTTCATTTTGTTACTTAGTTTGCCTGGGTTTTTGTTTTGTTCTGCATCAAAAAATAGTCTGCAGAGAAAAGTTAAGGGGGGAAAAGAGCAGATTATTTATTTACTTTTTTATTTTTTATTTTTGGCACTGTCAGCTGATCTTCAGCATTTCCTTTGGTCACAAAACACAAAGGACACACACAAAAAAGGTTCCTTTGGTCAAGCAATGTGATCATTGTTATTGAGTTAAAATATTTAACAACTAATATGAAGCTTTTTAAACTAACATTTATGTAATATTCACGTATTGGCAGTTAGAAATAGTGTTCTTAACCAGCTGATTTCAGGTTATTGCTCTTGATGCCAGCCTACAGCTCTAGCTTTCCTGTTTGTGACAGATGAAACAAAATTAACTGCCCTGTTAAACTCACCATTGTCTGTTTTTTTCCCTTTCCATTTATTGTTTAAAAAACCTGCAACTATCGGTTCTTCCTTTGGTTCTTCTTGAGAAAGGGTTTCATTACCTGCTACCCGCTTAATCCAGATGAGTAACGCCACATTTAAGTTGGTGTTTTTATTTTCTCCTTCTGATAATATGACGTTTACTTGTATAATGAGCCTCTTAATCTACTCGTGCGTGCAGGGGGGTGATGGGGGTAGGGGCAGGTGGACTGCATAGATGACAGTGCGCAGGAAACGAGGAGAGGAGAACTTATTTCTAGCGGTTATTATTTCATGTTTTTTAATGTCCTACAGGCTCTGAAATGCAAATTAAAAACAAAACTGAGTTTTTAAAAAAGGTCAGTAGCGCGATTTGAACGCTTTTCTTTTCTTTTTTTTTTAGTTCATTACACACCCGCAACAGCGGCGAGCGCATTGTTCAGATCTACACGCCACTTCATAATTTTACCCACATTTGGCCAGTGGCGGGTGCTAATTTCCACCCCTGGTTATAATGTACTTTACTGCACTGTGCTGTAATACAGCGGGTAAAATAAGTATTGAACACGTCACCATTTTTCTCAGTAAATATATTACTAGAGGTGCTAATGACATGAAATTTTCACCAGATGTTGGTAACAACCCAAGTGATCCATACATACAAAGAAATCAAATATTGAACACATGAAGAAAGGGAGGTGTAAAAA